CAGCTATAGTGGCCACAGATTCACATTCGTTGTTGGCATCACAGTTAGGCCCTTAGTACATAACCTTTGCCAGACCTAGCTAACCAAAACGCGTTCCAAAGATTTCCGAAAGTACTAAAAATGTTTCACTGATATTTAAAAACTAATGCACATATTTCGGCGACGGCTGAAGAAAATTGATACAAATGTTTGGAGGCTACACGAGTTTGTGCGATGAACTCTAGTGACGCGATGCGTAAAGAATAAGTCGGCCTGTAGCCCAGCATGTGCCCAGCTCTTTTGTTATATTGAGCAGTTTGTTATTCACCCTCTTAGCCTATTTCATAATGTTGCTAATTCTCTATAGCATCCTTCTACACCTTTTTCTTTTTCTTAGAGGAGGAGCATGAGATTGGCAGGAGTTGATTGGCATCCCAAAGAACAGCTGCGGTGCGGACCAAGCGTTTACAAATTTTTTTTGCTAACGGGAAGAGTGACACTGGCGCATAAATTAGTAATGTTTTAGATAGAGCCTGGGGTATTGTTCTGAACGTATCAAACGTAAAGTAAAACCTTTACGTTATTTGTTTTACTTTCCTGATAGCGTTTGGAAGCCTTAATCAATGACAAGTTGAACTTGTCGGAAAACAAGGAAGACTTATTATATCAAGGCTAAAGTCACTCGAGGTCACTCTTTACTCGCGGCTTCAATAACTTGCTGTCTGAATTGATAATAGCTTTAGGTCTGTTGGTATCTGAAAGGAGCGTTTTGTGATGCAATTGACATTTGCTGTGACACATCCGCTGTCACTTTGAAAGCAAGCTGAGGCGTGAGAAATCTGCCTACTATGCAGTAATGAAATATATAGCAAGTCAAAATAAACAACGCAGTCTAAGAGTTCAAACTCAGGGTATAAAAACTTATGTGGAATGAAAATCAAAGCGATAACTGAAAAGTTCGACGATGTAAAATTTTGCAAGGGAAGCATTTAATGAGAAAGTATTGAATTTGAAACGAGGATCGCTGTTTAATTTTCAAGTCAGATTGTCTCGGTATTTCAACTTCAGTTGAAAATCCAATGATTTTTCCAGGTCAACTGCATGTCAGTCCGCATGTTTTCTAAACTTCGTGCTCGTGTGTTGTTGTTTTGCATCATTTGCCTCCCTTCAGAAGTGCTGAGATTGTATTTTATATCATGCTTCTTTTTTAAGGAGTATAATTGACAGCTAAGGCTGCTTGGATAAATCTGGGCAAATATTTCCAATCAATGCACAATAAATAGCAAAAAAGCTAAATCGTCATTATCACCCACCGCCGCTTGTGAGGCAGAAAACACGAAGGTCGTGCTTTCCTTGGAATCCAGCCCTATAGTTCGCCTTCGCTCCGAAATCCCACTGTACATAAACAAGCTGTGCCATCACAGGCGACTTCTTGTCTTGTCCGACTTGAACTACTGTCCCTACAAAACCTTCTCCTCCATCTTGGTTTCCCCATTGCCAATCTTGACCACGAACAACTCGGGTGCCTAGAAGATTCATTGCCATAGTTATACAAGTATTTTCTTGCCACCAGGACCGATGGAAGCTTTTCGAGATCTCCGCTTTTCTTAAAGAACAGGAATGCAAATATATTGCATCAAAAATTTTCCTGTTTGGTGCGGAACCAGTCGGTGAATTATTGCGATTCAAACCCCTTTGCCAGTTTCACACAAATCTTACAAACTCTTTACTCGATTCTAAAATTGATAAAGAAGAATCAACGAGAACAGTTTCCGTGTCTGTGAAGAAAATGCTCGGTTAGCGATAAAATGCTAATGTAAGTATATTTTTCTAAAAATATTTTAGCTATGACCACATAAACCCGGGGATTCCCCAACGTAACATTCAAGACATTATTGGTTAACCAACAGTTGCGTTACCACATGCTCCTTGTTATGGTAATTTTAGACAATCCAAAAAGGGATTAGAAATGGACATGTAGAAAAAGATAAGGGAGAATTTCTACACTGTGCGGAAAAAAAGCAAATTATTGCATCGATATCGGATATTGTGTAAAACATTATTTTACCTCCACTGCTCTGCAACAATTACACACCAAAAATATTTCGAAATCTTTCATGATAATTCGGAAGTTTGAATTCAGCGAAGAAATCTCAGATTTCTGAGTCAATAGGTTTACAGTTCCTAGAATTATAAACCACACAGAGCATTGTGAATTTCTTCTAAAGAGCAGGAAAGTTTGCATTATCTTTATACTCGTTTACTGAACGACTGATAAGAATCTCAACAATAACGCCGAAGTTTCGAAAGCAAAGGTATTCCGTGATTTATGACAGAAGCTGAGTGTTTTACAAAGTTGTACCAGCCCACAAAGCAAAAAAATATTTTATCTGTCATCACTCTTGTCGGATCCTATGTCAAACTCTTTTTGGACGCTCTAGTTTCTGTTTCAAGGTGTCTATTTTTCTANGTTATGGGACCACACTCTCACTGTAATTTTTGTTATCTTTTACTTTCCCCTCCGCCAATTACTCACCGGAGAACTTTACAGTTGGGGATACGGGGTTCTTGGACACGGTAAAGAAGTTTCCTATTCAAAGACGCCAAGAAAAATCGAGGAGTTCTCCAACGTAGGTGAAACTATTTCAAGCTTGATTTGTGGCCCTGAAAGTTGCGCTGTGGTAAGAGGTTTCTATAACAAAACAACATTTGGGACCCACGTCTTATCGGCGTAACTCGACCTCTGGGGCATTGTTTCCTCCTGCCTCCTTATTAATGTCTTGACCCCCCACCCTCCCCTCCCTGAAAAAAGACGTGACTAACCACGAGATCATAACCTCTCCGATTTCTTTTCACGCTCAGGCAAATGGACGCATTCCTCTTGAAAAAAATATTCACTTGAAGCCGGAAATACATAATTTATATTGCTAGACAGGTGCAAGACATTGGACAAAACCAGTACAAAATCAGGACTTCTCGTGAGTCACAATTATTTTTACTCTCGCTACCTCTCTCAGAATCAGGAGACCTGTACACCTGGGGTAGAGGGTCATTTGGGAGACTGGGTCTTGACTTCACACTCAATTAATGGACGTCTATGCGGGTGAGTTGCACCTCATAAGCATTTGTGACCTGGTCTTGCAAGTTGAGTCTCTAAGTAAAACGACTGATTTACTGGCGGTGGTACGAAAGGGGAGACGGGCTGACGGATTCATCATTCGGCGAATGTTTTGGCCTGTTAAACTTCCTGAGCGAAGTTTATATAAACTTCTTTTTTATTTATGGCTTTTCAGGTTAAAGTATCAGGCAAAGTAATGGAAGTGACTTGTGGCATGGATCACATGGCAGCTATAGTGGCATGTAGCTTGTGTTACTTGCCCCTTGGAAAGCATGGGAGTTTTCGAAAAAGAAGACCAGTCGTGGGAGAGAGTGTGCTGGAATGTAAGGACTTAAATGTTTTCGTGACTTGACTGAATAAGGTTGTCCCGGTGACAGTGAAGCGCAAGAAATGTACTGGTGGATGTTTGAAATATTAAACTGAGCCTTTTTTGAGTTCAAATTCAGGAAAGACTTTCTAGAGGATCATCACTCGCATCGGATTTTTTTATTGCAGTTTTCTACTTGCTTAACAGAAGATTTCTAAAATGTGTTTAAAAAACTGAGTGGAGTCCACAACATTTCGCAATTTTTTCCTG